GAGCATTTACACTTTGTTAATTAGTGTAGTTAAACATTACAAATAAAGGATTAATTCATTGTTCTATTGATTGTCTAGTTCAGAAAGTGATAGAGAAAATGTTAATAATGCAAATGAAACTTAAAAATGTCTTAAGTCCTCTCCCCACCTCCAACTAGTTCTTAAACATTTATCAGCACACCCCTGACTCATCTCTATGCCTTTGAGTAAACTATTCTTCCATTCCTGAAATACTCTCCTTCCTCACCTCTGCCTTCTGGCTGCCTTCAAATTTAACCTCAAGTACTATCTCCTTCAAAATGACTTTTCTTATTTCCTCAGTCATCAGTATTCCTACAAAACCACTTTTGTCTATTCCTGTACAGCCTTCATTTATCTGTGAACATGTTGTAAAATAAAATAATAAGGTAAGCGTCTTTCTCACTTTTATATATACTAGTCCCCAATATCTTGATTGGGAGTGGGATTATCATCTCTCACTTTATCTACAGTTCTCCACATCCAAATATCTCAAGTAGCAGCTATTTGAGATTTGAGGAATTAACTCACACTAGAATAAAAATGACTGATGATGCAATGTTTTCCCACCCATAAGATCTGAGAATCCTGGGGCTGGAATGTACAAAGAGACTGACCAATGTTGTTTGCATTACATACAACAACCATGATTTAGAATCAGCCAGTCTGTCTTTGAAAAGCCATAGTGACAGGAAATTCACTACCTCATGCAGTAGAATTCATCCCATTTTCAGATAGGTTCAATTGTTAAGAATATTTGTATATCTTCAGTCAGAACAGCCTTACATGTATTCAGTAAGAATCTGTCAATTTTATCAGTCATTTGGTAATTGACCACAATGTACAAGGTACTATTTTAGGCATGGAGGATCGAAAAACAAAATAAAAAAGTAATCCCTGCCCTTAAGAAGCCTGTGTTCTAGGGAACACATTAAGTAATAGGTCCCTCCTTGAAGGAAGAGTCCAAGTTCTTATGAGGAGGTCAGTAGAGGCATCCCATAAGAGATATTACATGATCTGAACCTTGAAGGAAGTGAAAAAGGAAAGCCTTCCAGGGATGGGGTCAGCCTGTACAAAAGCTGGGAAGTGGGAGATAGAGTATTGAGTTTGGGCAGCCAGACTGACCAGAACACAAAGTGTGTGAAGGGGATCAATGCACAACAAGCCTGGAAAGTTAGGCTGCAGCTGGACTGTGAAGGGCTTTAAATGTCAGGTTATGGACTTATTCTCTTATCTCTTAGTCCCACTTTCTAAAGATATTAGTCTTTTTTATGATATAGCTAGCAAATTATTATCACCATTTGGCATGTAAGGAAACTTATGTCTATTATAAGGAAACAAATGTCTAAAGACATTTCCCATGGCAATCTTTCAGGTACTTCAACACACCAATAATTCCCCCTCATCCTTTCACTCTCCTGAATAAACATCACCAATTCCTTAACATCATCTACAAACACCATGGTTTTGAGGTCTGACCATCTTAACTATCTTTTCAACTTGCCAAAGTCACTCATAGGAATTTGAATTGTTGTCTAATAGTTTAATGTGGTAGAAAATAAGCTCATTATGAGTACAGATCATTGAATTCTTTACATTTATATTCCATGTACCTAGAACAGTGTCTGACACATAGTAGGTGTTCAATAAATACTTGATCATGAACTTAATGATTAGTTGTCAGTTTCTAACTACATTGTAATATTCTTGAGGGCTGGCAATGCCTTTAACCGTTCCTGAATTCTATTCCTCAACTCCCCCACACCTCCCCCCCCATTGTACACAGCATGATTCTGGGCACATGGCCAATGTCAGTAAAGACTTACTGATTGGTATCTGAATCAGCTGCTGATATGGGAATTCAAAGAAATATTCCCTAGCTTCAAAATTTAACCTCCTTCTTAAAATTCATCACACATTTCAGAACCTCAGTCCAGAGGTATAGAGCACCATGGTCAATAAATAGGTGGCTTTGGACCCTTTTAAGCTAAGGGAAGAGTAGAAACAATACTAGATTGACAATGGAAAGATCTCAGCTAAATCACAGATTATGCTTACTAGCTTGGTGACCCATGGGATTGTCATTTAATCTTTCTGAGACTTAGTTTCCTTATCTGTCGAATGGTGATAATAATATGTTAGCTATATCATAAGAAAACATTTTCACTGTATTATTTTTTGTAATATTTGTATTGTAATTTAAATTTATTGTAAAATACCAGGTAAATGTGAGCTATTATTTAAGGTGTAAGTAAACAGACACCCCCCCACCTGCCACCCCTCTCCTACTCCCCCCACATACATATGTTTGGTCAGGCTTTCACAGGAATATTTCTTCCATTCCTACAGCCATATATCAACTTGCAGGACTGTAGAAAAAGGGAACTGAAAATTCGTAGAGAGAAATGTTGAGATATTGTTTGCTAACTCTATCTGACTATGTCAGTCATACATTAATGCTTAAAGTTTTGCTTATTTGTTTAAATATTCTGATTCCTAGGAATTTGATTCTCTCTCCTCCAATAGCCCCATTACTGAATAAAGATGTCAAGCCTTCATGTCTTCATTTCTCCTGTCTTCTCTTGCTTCCCCATGTGGTGCTTTGTACAAGACTTTTCCAGGAGACATAGCACAAGGGCACTGCCAGTATTTTTCCATCTTTTTTTTTTTTTTTTACATCTGAGTTATTAAACAAAAAAACTTTTCTCTAGAGGAGGGCTGTGAACAACTCTACTGTTGGTTAATGTTTTGCTTGCAACAATGAACCTTTCATTAGCAGAATTCACAGCACATCTCACTGTATAGGAAGCTAAGGATTGGGGCTAGTTGTAATGCAGCTGCCAATTTAGGGCTAGTAGGCATGGTCTACTGTGCAGCTTACTTTCAAGTAACCATTTATATACAAAAAAAATCTTTAACTTTGGAGGTGCCTCATGTGAATCACTTTCAAATTCAAATACAAGAAGGTCTGGCTATTCTGTCACCAGGCTAACATAGCACAGAATCATATAGTATTTTAAACATTACAAAGTACATTCTTCAAGGCTACTCTGTAGGTAGGATGTTATTATCCTCATTTGAGAAATTAGAAACTAAAACTCAACAAAACTTAAGTGACTTGTCCATTGTCACATAGCAGGTAAGCTCTGGGGCTGATACTTGAATTCAAGGATTCTGAATCCAGGCCCAGTTCCCTTTTCATGTCATACTGACTCCTTTATCTTTACCTACCTGCGACCTGTAGTCCCAAATTCAATCTCCTGTTGAGAATAAGATACAATTTGTGGCAACATTTACCTGACTGCTTTTTGTAAGTCATCTTCTAGAATCTGAGCTGTTCTAATAGGATCAACAATTCCAATAAACTGTCTCATGAGACTTTGTTTATTTGAAGACTTCAAGGATCTGTGATTTCATTAATGTAGTATTCACCCACCAGTAAGGATCTTAACTCCTCCATGTTTGAACATACAGTCTTCTTGAGTAACTGTGCCAAAAATATCCATCCATCTGTAGCTGCTAAGAATGATAAAACTCAATAGCCTAATGGACAGCCATTCATTTACAGGAAATTAATGTCCAGTTTTCCAATTTAGTAAGATTTGCTAGATCTTAGAATTTTCTAGAATATTAATACCACCTTCTTTTTCTTCTTCTCCTCCTCTTCCCCCATTTTTAAAATTCTTTCTTCCCTTTCCTTCATTTTTTTCTTCCTTCTTCCCTTTTCTCCTTTATTTTTCTTCCCTCTTCTTCCTTCTTCCTCCTCTTTTTTCACCACTATGTTATCAAGATGTTTTATCTTGGGTAAACTAGGTGGCACAGTGGATAGAGCACCAGCCCTGGAATCAGGAGGACCTGAGGTCAAATCTGCCCTCAGACACTTGACACTTATTAGCTGTGTGACCCTGGGCAAGTCACTTAACCCCAATTGCCTCACACACACAAAAAAAAGATGATATTTTATGTTTTTGAACAAATTAATTAATTTATTTTTACATAGATTTATAGTCTATCCTCCATTGGCCCCCACAATTTATCCAAAACAATAGAAAAAGAAAAGCCTCATCTTAAAAATGCATAGTGAAGTAAAACAAATTTCCACATTGGTAATGCCCCAAAATAATATGTCTCTGCATTTTAGTTGATCACCTCTGGCAAGAGGTGGGTAACATATTTTATCTTCAGTCTTTTGAGACTCAACAACTCACATTTCCATAGCAACTTTAAGGTTTGTATAGTACCTGCCACACAATAGCACTATAGGGTAATAAGTGCAAGCTTTATTATGCCCATTTTACAGACTGAGAAAATTAGAGGTCCTGAGAGATGATTAAGTGATTTGCCAAGGATCATATGGTTAGTAAGTGTCCAAAGTGGGATTTGAACTTGTCTCCTAACTCCATGTCCAGTGCTATGTCCACTATACAACGGTGCTGCTAGAAGAAGACTTGAGAAGCTTTGGGGGTAGAATGAGTCAATAGCTCTGAAATCAGAAAAACCAGTTTCAAATCATGCCTCTAACAATTTATTATACTGAGCAAATCATTTAACCTCCCTGGGTCTCAGTTCTTTCATCTGTAAAATAATGAAGGGTGGACTAGGTGAACTCTGAGATACTTTCGAGCTTTAGATCTGTGGCTATGGATATAACTCTCATTTTCAGGCCATGAGAAGGCATCTTAACAGAAAACTAAAATACACATTAGAATTCTCTCCTATAACGTGAACTAGCTAATATCAAAGACATTGGCCAGGAGAAACACAATGGTCCATTTTTTTTCCTCATACTCAAACCTACCATAATCTCCTGGGTTCCTTTTCTATCCACTTCCTCTTTGTCCCCCTCCCCCCTCCCTAGCCCCTTCAGATACACAGACAAGCATAGATATCCATGCGTGCTCATTTTTCTATTTACACATGTGCACATGTACACGCACACAATCACACATACACCACACAAAACACAAAATATCCACACTTACCCTCGCTGGAAGAGATCCACATTGTGGAATTTGTGTAGCTCTACAGAAAACTCAACCGTTCCCTGTACTTCAGACATGATCTTTTCGGGTCATCACCTGATGGGGGGAGGGGAAATGGTGAAAATGTTAAGTTCTTTGAATCACCTCAGCCAAGGAGAAAGAACAAATGATGGTGCTAAAGAAAGTTGTGCTTAAATAACATATAAAACACACTTCTGTGGTGGATCCACTTAATAGAATCTAATATAAGCACATATTTTAACAATGGTTATTCTTTATATGGATATAATACTTTGTAATTCATTAAACGTTTACACACCTCCCATCTCACTTGACACACAAGCAGCTCCAATGAGGAGGACAGAATAGGGCGAGGATTTGTAACTTCATTTTACAACTTAGGAAACTGAGGCCCCCAAAGTGTTTTTCCATTGATCACAAAGTGTTGTTTTGGAGGGCCAAAGCTAGAAACTCCATCAGTCTCCGTACTGCCAGTTTTGGTTCTTTGTGTTATGTTTTGTGTTCATAATCGTTGTTTTATATGCATACTAATTTTTCTAAAAGTTTTATTTGTGACTTCTGCTTTTAAACCAAGGGCATTTTCCCCCACTCTTCCAACTAAATTCTCACTTGTTAACAAAGAAAAACAGTCAAACAAAACCAAGACAAAGCAGTAGCATCCAATAATATGTGCAACACTCCATACACATAGTCCCTGCCACTCCACTTACAGTAAGGAGGCATGTTTCATTATGATTTTCCAGAATTAACAATAGCCATTACAATTACAGCTTGGCTGCCTTTTAATGTTGTTTTCATTTATAGCATTATAATTATTTTATCTACTGTTCTGGTTCCTTCTCTCTACACCAATTCATACAAGTCTTTCCATATATTTCTCTGAATTCACATTCATAATTTCTTACATTGCAACTATATTCCACTATATTAATAGATAAAAAAAAATATTCAGTTAATGAACAAGCTTTTATCAATCACCTACTGTGAGCAGGCACCATGCTGGGGATTCAAAGACAAAAGTAAAACAGCCCCTGCCCTTTAAGGGCTTATAATCTAAACAAGGGAAACAATATGTACGTACACACATACACACACACACACACAAAATAAATGTTACACAAATTTCAATTTCCCTGTCTTGCAGAGACTAGACAAACTATTACCATTCTTTAATTCTTTGGAATTCTAAAAAAAAAAATTACCCATTAACTGTCATTCTATGAGGATTTTGTGGGCATCTATAAGTTTAAATGTTATTTTACAGAGACTGTTAATATTCATGGCTAAAAGAGTGTGATATTTTAGGAGTCTCAAAAAAGCATACACACAGTGATACACATACATACACATATATGTCCTTAAATTAAAAGATTATATATAGACATAAGAGTAAATTAATATCTTTAACTTAGTAAAGCTTAAACTGAGCTAAGATTTTTTTGGACACCTCATGTATAAATGTACGTATATGTTTGTATGTATACTTATGTATGTATATATGTACATACATATACTAATGGGGATATTGCATACCTATGTGTACATTGTATATGTATACACGCACATAGGTATATCTAAATATATACTCAGAAACACAAAAATAACTTGGTCTTGACCAAACTGTTCTAATTTTGGAATCCTCATTTGAACCCCAGTTTATCGCCCTTCCCCCTTCCAAATACAGTGAGCAACTCTGATTCATTTTTAGCTTGTGAATCACTGCCCCTTTGGTTTGTCTCTAGCTTGAATAGATCAAAGATCTCATCAATCAGGATGCCACTTCTACTGGTGCAAATCACAGCCTACCCATACTTTCTAAATTCTTGGCCATGTTCAACCATAAAGATATCATTGAGGGTCTCCTTAATGTGTTCAAAGCCTTTCAATACTTTTTTAGTACTCAATGGTAGATAATGATACATCACTAAGGCCACCTATCTGTTTTCCCTCCATCTTACTACTTACCTGGCCTACTTCCTTGTGAGTGCAAACATTTCCTAGATGGTACATTTAGGCCATTTCTTGGTTAGAAATCATCTTTGGTAATAAGCTGCAGCCTATTTATGGCTATTATATTGCCCTTTGAGTCACCTGTAATTTTGATTCTTGGGAGATAGTGATGTTCCATGATTTGCAGCCATAGAGTATTGCCAGAAGAACATCATTTTATAACACATCTAGTAAAATATTGAATCCATTCAAGCCAGAATCTCTAGGCAAATTGCAGTCCTCCTGTAAGCCAGTCAGCTATGTTGAGATTAAGATAATTTAATTCAATTGACAACCTTTCTTTAGGACCTGCTGGAGAAAAACTTTAGATAAGACACAGTTGTTGACTTTATAGAGATCATAGATGTGCAGAATTACATACCTCCACAGATAACCATAATATATACAATTAGATACATAATTGGAGAGGTGACAAAGTACAATAGAAAAAAGCATTACTAAACAGGGAGATTAGGGATGACTTCATGGAGAAGGAGGGTACATTTGAGTTGAGCTTAAAAAAGAACAGAAATTCATCAGGCTAAGAGAGGGAAAGAGAACTATGAGATAGATGGAGGCTATCTAATGTGAAATTCATTCAGCAGTCTTTTCTTAAGAGCTTTTTATGTGGCAATGCTTCAAAAGGGATTGGGAAAGGCTCCCTGTAGAAGGCGGGATTTTAGCTGGATCTTCAAAGAAGTCAGGAAAGGCAAGAAGCTGAGATGGGGAATGGGAGGTAACTAGTGAAAATGGCTGGAGTCAGAAGATGGAGTGTCTTGTTTGAGAAACAGCAAGGAGGCCACTGTAAACTTTGAAAAGTGAATATGTTGGTGGGGGTGGGGGTTTGGAGGGTTGGTGATGGTGATGGTTCTTGTTCTTCAAGAGGACCAATGAATGACATCTGGAAGGTGATGTCTTGACTTGAGCATGAATTGGATATGAGTGGGGTAAAACTGCATAAAGTCATCAGCCTCACTCTTTCCTCCAAAGTCAATGAAGTCCAGTGGCAAGACAAAGGTCAAGAGGATTGGCCACGGCCCAGGACACAGTGGGTAACCTTGGCCTTTCTTTTTTCTTATTTTTATTTTTTACATTTAAAAAAAAATTTAGACAAATATTAAAACTTAAATACATAATAAGAAAAGAAAAAGAAACATAAACTTAAATATAAAATAAGAAAAGAAAAAAACATGTTATGTGCACAGCAGAACATAGGAGAGAATTCAGAATATATAACAAAAACTTGTCATTTCAAGAAAGCCTATATATTAAATACTGCACATTATGTTGAAAGCTGTCCATCTTGCCTTTGCTTCCTTGTATGGTTTCTTTCGCTGTCTGCTGTACACTTTTTACTTTGTTCTTTACCCCCCTTCTTTCCTCTACCCTTTACCCCAAGGCTACAATTAAGCATGGATATATTTATATACAGATATTGATATGTATATACACTTATACATATATACACATATATACATGCACACATGTATAAACATACTTTCCCTAAGAGATTCTACTCCTAATTTTTGTTTTTTGTTTGTGCTTATCTCTTATTTCCTATTTCTCCTAACTCCCATACTTTACTTCTATCTGCTACCTTGCCCTCCTATTATTTAACCTACGCCCACTCAAGCAATCCCATCCTGATCCTCCCGTTGCTCGAAATCTAAACAACCTTCTATATCCCACTTTTGATCTATTCCTTCACCCTCCCTTCTACAGATCCTTCCTTTATCTTCTCACCCCTCCCCATCCCTTTAGTTTTATTCTTTTCCAACTTTAGAAGACTTTTATACTTTTCTAGATGTATATGTATTTTTTTCTCTCTTGAACCCATTCCCCATGAAAGTAGGTTTCCAAAACTAACAGCTGTCCTCCTCCATCTAATTCCTCTGCATTGATTTTTCTTCTTGCATCTCATTTGCATAAGATAATTACTCTTAGCTGTTCTTGAATGATTTTACTATTTGAAGTCATATCATACTCAGGTCTACCCAAATCTTCCTTATAAGCTACCTAATTACTAATAACAATCATAGACATAGGTTTTACATTTTATACATATAAAAGGTAAACATTCTATCCTTATTGAGTCTCTTGTAAGTAATCATTGGTATGTACCTTATATTTCTCTTGGCTCTTGTATGTCAAATCTTCTATAGAGTTCAGGGTTTGTTTTTTGTTTGTTTTATTTTGTTTTTTCTTTTTTTAACAAAGTCCTGAAAGTCTGACAATTCATTAAATGTCAAATTTTTTCCCTTCAGAATTATGCTTAGCTTTGCTGGATGATATTTTCGTCCAGAAGGCCAATTCTTTTGCTCTTCAATATATAGTGTTCCAAGACCTATGCTCTTTTAGTGTCACCACTGCTATGTCTTCTGTGATTCTAATTGTGGTACTGCCATATGTAATTTTTTTCTTGTTGCTTGTAATATTTTATCCTTGAGCTGGGGGTTTCCAAATTTGACCAAAATATTCTTGTGAGTTTTCCCCATAGGATCTCTTTCAGGTGGTGTTCAGTGGATTATTTTTTATTTCTACTTTTCCCTCTTGTTCTAATGCTTCAGAACAATTTTCTTTAATAATTTCTTGTATTATTGTATCAAGATTCTTTTTTTGATCATAGCTTTCAGGTAGTCCAATTATTCATATGTTTTCTCTTCTTGATCTATTCTCCAGTTCAGCTGTTTTTTTTTCTTATGAGATATTTCACATTGTCTTCTATTTTTTTCATTCTTTTTTTAAAATTTCTTCATCTCTTGTAACTTCACTGACTTCACCTTGCCCCATTCTGATTTTCAAGGAGTCATCTTCTTCCTTAAGATTCTGCATCTCCTTTTCCAATTGGTTGACTTTCATTTCATACTGTTCTTGTCTTTCCTGGATTACTTTTATTTTTCTTTTGAGTTTTCCCTCAATCTCTCTCATTTTATGTTTAAAGTCTCTTTTTAAGTTCTTCAGTGAATTCTTTCTGGGCAGGTGATCATTTGACATCACTCTTTGTGCTAGAAGAGGGGTTCTTTGCTTCAGTATCCTCCTCTGAAGATTAACCCCATTCTTCTCTATTCCCATAATAGCTCTCTATG